GGGAGCTTGCTGTGCACAATTTGAGTTTCCCACATCAAAACAATGATTATCCTTTACTTAGGTCAATGGCAGTAATTTATTTTGGGATGTCCTGAAGTCACAAAGGCACTATATAAAAGTAATTTCTACTATCAGGCTAGCAGTAGGTGGCCATGACTGCAATTTTATCACTTTTGTGTCTGTCAACTCTTGGGGTTTCACATGTTGTAATTGAGTAATGACGCCTAACTGAAACAAGTGCAGAGAATGCTGGAGACACTGGCAGCCCAGTGAAGAGAGAAATAGAGTTAAGATTTGGAGTCTAGTATGACTCTTCCTGCTGAGTTTCTCCAGCATTATGTGGTTGTTTCAGATTTCCAGCATCCACTGTAGTTTGCTTTGAACTTAGGTCTGGCTGTTATCCAGCTACCTCTTTGCAGAAGTGATCAACAGGTGCGTTCCAGTGGAGTTTGTTTAGTTGAGAATGTGTCTCCATGGGTCAGGGGGAATAGAATTCTCATGGGCCCACAGAGTTCAGACAGCAGGAAGCTCTGAAGATTTATTCAGCAAAGGCTAGGGACTGGATTGCAAGAACAGCGAACTAGCATAAACTCAGTGGACCAAATGGCATCCTTCTGTGGCTTTGGAAATGTTTCCAATGATCAGCCTCAGCAAATCTAATAGCCTAGTCCCTGTGATCACTGAGGATTACACACAGATTGGAGCAAGCCAGTGAATGCCAAAGCAATAAAATTTCCAACAGAAAGTGAAAGACTTGACTCTGCACGCACAGTCTCTTTTAAAAAGGCAATTTAAAAAAAAAAATTTGCTAGATGATTACAGTTGCTGCTTTAAACTCAATTGAGTGATTCAAGAAAATGTCCTATATATTACATTAGTCTCTCAGATTGTACAATTGTTATTCTGTGACAACCAAGATCCAATGGCTCATACATAGAGAAAAATGTATATTTCACATAGTATAGTTGACATGCCACTTGTTTAACTCTTTCACTATTTTTCACCAGTTTATATCATTATTGTACAATAGAATACATTACATAATGTTATAAATAATGCATACATCCATTTGGGCACTATAGTGGCTCAGTGGTTAGCACTGCTGCCTCACTGTGCCAGGGTTTGATTCTACCCTTCAGAGACTGTCTGTGTGGAGTTTGCACATTCTCCCCGTGTTTGTGGGGTTTCCTCTGGGTGCTCTGGTTTCCTCCCACAGTCCGAAGATGTGCATGTTAGGTGGATTGGCCATGCTAAATTGCCCATAGTGTCCAAGATGTGCAGGCTAGGTGGGTTAGCAATGGGGAATGCAGGGATAGGGTGGGATACTCTTAGGTGCAGACTCAATGGGCTGAATGGCCTCTTTCTGCACTGATTCTAATATGTTGAACTATTTTGTCCTTTGCTTATATTTATTGCACTATATATTATTAATACATACTATTATACAATATTAAAAACCGAAAGGACTGCAGATGCTGGAAATCACATATGAAACAGAAATTGCTGGAAAAGCTCAGCAGGTCTGGCAGCATCTGAGGAGAGAAATCACAGTTAACGTTTCGGGTCCAGTAGCCCTTCTTCGTTACTTATGCTCCGTGCCTTCAATCAACTTCTTTGTTAAATGGTATCAAGGCAGTCAGTCAGTTACAAAAACAAGTTGCTGGAAAAGCTCAGCAGATCTGGCAGCATCTGTGGAGGAAAAGCAGAGTTAAATTTTCGGGTCGAGTTACCCTTCCTCAGAACTCGTTCTCTCCACTGCCAGACCTGCTGAGCTTATCCAGCAATTATACAATATTTATTAATTATATAAAAACAATGTTGTGCGCATATATTCAATTATTTAACTCAAACATTACACAGTCATAGGATTATTTATAACATTATGTATTATGTAAGGATGTTATGCACACATATTCAACTGTTTCGCCCATTGTTTAAGCAATACATATTTATGGTATATCACATTAGATGAGATATATATGTGATGAGTATTTTCTGTCTGTATATTGAACAATTTCACCTGTTAATCTACCGAGGAACACTGCAAAGGGGCGAGTCAGGGGCAACAGGAGCGGCCGCGGCGAGAAGAGCGCTCCTGGCGGTGAGGGAGAGCGCGGGAGGGGTCTCGACCCGGACTTCATCCTGCACACGGGGCTGTTGGGTGGGGGGTTGGATATCTGAAACCGTAGCTCCGGCACAGAATGACAGGGAGATTAAAAACTAAACAGAATTAATTGAGAATCAGAAGAAAACAAATTAACTTCGTGATCTTTGAGTCAACAATTAATTGAGTTCTGAGGAAGGGTCACTGGACCCGAAACGTTAACTGATTTTTCTCCGCAGATGCTGGCAGACCTGCTGAGCTTTTCCAGCAATTTCTGTTTCTGAATATTGAGTTCTTGACCTGTTTCTCCCTCCACAGATTCTGCAAGTCCTGCTGAGTTTCTCCAGTTATTTCTGTTTCTGTTTCGTTTCAACTATTATCAGGTTCAGTTTGAGTAATTTAGATTCGAGAGAGTCTTAATCTGCTTCAGAGACGGTGCTGAGTTTGTTCAACACTTCCTATGTGTTTTTTTTTGTCTACATGTTCACCAACCGCTGGTCGCACGGCCCGTCTTGGAAAATTTGCCTTTTTAATGTTTTAAACGCAGGGAGTCCGGTCAATTTTGACTATTCCTCCTTGCCGTGCTCACTAGGCTGCACGCTGTGTTTGCAATGATTGGATCGTCAGGATTACAATGCACTGTGAGGCTGATGACAGGCACTGATTTCAGACGGGAATTTTTGACCCCCAAACCTCTCCCGGGGTCTCCTGAAAACTTCAACTCTGCTTTCTCTCTCCACAGATGTTGCCAGACTTGCTGAGTTCTTTTTCCTGGCTATTTCTGTACTTGTTCCCTCTCGGAGTATACTGTCTGATTTATCTGCATCTGAGCGAAAGCGAATAAACGGATGGATCGTACTGTGCGCTCATCAGCGAAAACAGGGATTTCCTCTGGTCCCTCCCTGCTCCATTCTCCAACCATTGCCCCGGAATAGCTCCCTCTGACTGGGCTTATCAACGAACTAACACCAGACAGTCAAAACAACAATATACATTCATATAGAGTCATATAGCAGGGAAACACCCTTCGTCCAAATCAAATTTCCCAAACTAAACTCGTCCCATTTGCCTGCGCTCGGTCCATATCCCCCTAAAACTTCTCTAATTCATGTACCTGTCCAAATGTCTTACAAATGTTGGGGAAGGATTTAAAAGAGACCTGAGGGGCAACTTTTTCACACAGTGGGTGCTTCCTATGTGGAATGAACTGCCAGAAAATGTGATGGATGTATAACCACTCCAAAGCTGTGCACAGAGACATAATTTCAGAACGGTTTTTTTTCTTTGAAAACAAAAATTTAATGGGATGTGCAAAGTCATGCTTGTTTGTGGCCCAATCCTAATTGGATGAATTGGCTTTCATTTTCACAGTTAAATCTTCTGAAGTCCCACAGGGAGGCCATTCTGTTACAGAATAGTGGATACGGCAACAGATAGCATTCTTCTGAAACCAACTTTTACATTTCAAATTTACTGAATTTAATTTAAATATAAACGCCGACAGCGGGTTTTGAACTCGGGTGCCTCAGAAGACTGTATCGATTTTCCCCTAACCGACCTGTTTAGAGCTGCTCTAAAACACGGATGGAGCAGGTGAGATTTGAACCCAGACCTCCTGGCATAGAGCTATATTGTCACTGCGCCATGGGCGCTCCCTACCGGCTTATCATTGGCTTGGACTATGAGCATCTTCAGTTTTAAGTAACCAACAGCCCTGTGATTCCACAATGCTTTCAAACATGCACTTTACTACCCAACTTCAACACAATGGACTGCTCTCACAGTGATAGAACGGGTGTCTGTAGGGCCCAATGGCCTCTTTCCGCACCGTAACGATTCTGGGATTCCGTGCGTCCACTGGGCTAGCAGCGATGCGAGGAAAAGTTAGGAAAGAGCCGAATCACAACTGGATGAGCGAACTCCAGCCTTTCCGAATGAGATTCCTCCTCTCACCCATCAGTGGGGTCACTTCCCCCGCGTCACAAAGTGCTGTTGTCTGCGAGGCACGGGGAGAGATTTGAAAAGCAGAAATGAGCTGGCTAACTAAGAAAGCCGAGAGAGAGAGATCTGACATGTAGAAATGAGCTAAGAGAGTTAAGAATAAAAGATCAGAGAGATTTGAAGCGTAGAAATGAACTGGCTGACTAAGACAGTCAAGAATGAAAGAGATAAGAGATTTGAAAAGTAGAAATGAACTGTCTAAGAAAGCCAAGAATGAACAAGAGAGAGAGCTAGAGATAACACAGTGTGGAAAGCTGACGTTTCAGGTCGGAACCCTTTAACTTTCCTGCTCCTCTGATGCTGCCTGACCTGCTGTGTTCCTCCAGCTACACACTGTGTTATCTCTGACTCCAGCATCGGCAGTTCTTACCATCTCTGAGAGAGAGAGAGAGAACTATTCGTACGTGATAGGTTGTGCCATGATGCTGAGCTGAGGTTTGGAACTGCCGTCAGCCTGATCATCCGCAAAAACAATTTCTTCCCTGAGAAAATCTTGTAGACAAAGAAGGTTTTGACTGAGAGGGATTGGGGGTGGGGGGCGTGGTGGGTAGGATGGGAAGAGATCTCAGCTTACAGCCTCCCCGAACCCAACCACAATTGACTGGGCATTGAAGAAAACAATGAGGCTCACCTGCAGAGTGTGGATGGTCCGCGGCGCTAAAATTTATCACCGACCTCTGCCGTGGCCAGTTCACCGGAGACAAGCCAGAAGGGGGTGGGGGAGAGAGAAGGCCCTCTTGGGGACTGTGCAGTGCAGGTTAGGCAGGGCTCAGTGTTACGTAGAGGGTGGGGTGGGGAAGGGGAGGGGAGAGGAGAGGAATTTGCATTGATATCAGGAAGGAAGAGATGTTTCAGGGGCCGGCAGAAAGAAAAAATTCCCTTTTTTTTGTGTTACACCTGACGCAAACAGCTGGATCACAGCCCAAATGAGATTAACAAGAAGAGCTGCGCGTATAAATAGGATGGGACTGAGGACAGACACAAGAGCCACTCGTAATATTCCGTGTGAAGGAACAATTGGTTCGAGATTTCCATCTCAGGGTAAGAAAGAGACTATCTGTTCTCCCTCCCAATTTTTACCAACTTTGTGAAACCGTTAGAGAGTTTATTTCACACAACATAGAGAAATTTGACTCTTGTAAATCTGAAAGAAAAAAGAATTTGGATAGGTTTATAAATGCCAAGGGAGCCCTAATAACAGTTAATTTTCGAATCTAATTCAGAAGCAAAAAAAAAGTCTTGTAAATACTGGCAATCTGAATTTGGCAGACACATATACACAGAAAGTGCTGGAGAAACTCAGGTTTCTTGGCAGCATCTCTCTATAGATAAAGAGTGTTCCCTGTTCCAAGACTGTGCTCACTTGGCGAACTCAAGTTGTGACTTCTGAGCAGACGCGCCTTCTTGAGAAGAAAAAGCGAAAAACAAAACCACGGGAAATTCCTCAGGCGGACGGGGATAAGCGAATACATTGCGTTTGGGCATTCGCGGGGCTCTGGGGTTGAGGGGGTAAGGGGCAAGGAGTGTAGAATCAAGTGGATAGATCTTGCAGAGGGCTAGCACGGGGCGCGATGGCCCGAACGCCCCCTTTCTGCGCAGTCAGTCTGTAATCATTCGATATTCCTTTATGGTTTTTTAAGGGAAACCGACTGGGACCTGAATTTAGATGTGTTTAACCGAATGTGCAATTTATTCTGTTTTGTGCTAAAAGTGAGTACAAAGGGTTTGTATCTTCCTCTTAGCTAATTACCCAGTAACTAATTTTCTTTTCCTCTTTCTCGCTCTGCAGTTGACACACTATCTATCGCCAACTATGTCTCTTTTTAACGGAATTAGACCATTTTACCCCCACGACAGAACCTCGTTCATTTTCGCCATCACTTTACTCGTGGTTATCCTGGTGTTCCTGGTCTTTACCCTAACACTGTTCATTATCCTACCGGGAATCAGAGGGAAAGGGGTAAGTGATGGACAGGGGAGTGGGAATCCCCTTTGTTTTTCCATCTCTACTGAACCAGGACTCGCCCCCATTACCCACTGCAGTTGATCAGTTTCGATCTCAAAAGCGACACTTCAATCGCCAGAGCCCCTCGTTGCAACCCTTCTTCCCAGCCGATGTTTAACAGAGAGGAAGAGAGGGTGTGGGGATGCGGGAAATGGGGGTTGCGCGCTGAAATTCGTTATGCCGATGTTCCGCTTCAAAGTTATAATTTTCACTGCAGAGTGTCAATTTCAAGTCTGTTCGTTCCTGCATGTTAACGTTGACAAATTCACGAAGTTTGGTGGCGGTTTTAACATTGAGTCTCGTGAAACATCGCAATATGAAATTAATGAATGAAATATTTTTTTCGTTTGTTTAAAACGTTGCGTGTTTGATTTATATTTTCAGAGAGTTTATTCGTTCTGCAGAATTATTTTAAGCCTCTTTGTTGGAGTTATTATTGTAGGTATGTGCAATTTACCATTTCTTTTAAAAAACAATATATAATATTACGCCTGCAAATTTCACGACCGAGACATAATAGGTTCTGCTTTCTAACGAGTCTGCTAAGATTTAGCTTAATCTGTAACCAAAATAAAGCAGAAATTGCTGGAGAAACTCAGCAGAGCTGGCAGTATCTGTGGGGAGAGAAAGCGGAATTAGCGTCTCAGTAACTGTTCATTAGACTGATCCAGCTTGGAAAAAGGGGTATTTTTGGGGTAGTGGGAGAGATGAGAGATCGGCGGAGACAGAGCCCAGAGAGACAGGGAGAGAGAGACATATGAAAGGGTTGGGCAGACAAAAGAATTGGTGATTGTAAACCAGATAACAACCTTAATCTGCATCCTGTCCTAAAGGGAGAGTGCGAGATAACAAGGTGTAGAGCTGGATGAACAAGCAGCATCATAGGAGCCTAGACCCTTCATCCCCCTCTCACCCTATTTATTTCAGAACCCCCTTCCCCTCCCCCATTTCTGATGAAGGGTCCAGGCCCAAAACGTCAGCCTTCCTGTTCCTATAATGCTGCTTGGCCTGCTGCGTTCATCCAGCTGTACACCTTGTTTAGGGTCTAGACCCTTCTTCAGAAATGGAGGAGGGGAAGGGGATTCTGAAATATATAGAGAGACAGAGGGAAGCGGATGGAAGATGGATAAAGGAGCAGGTAGGTGGAGAGGAGACAGACAGGTCAAAGAGGCGGGGATAGAGCCAGTAAAGGTGAGTGTAGGTGGGGAGTTAGGGTGGGGGTTGGTCAGTCAAGGGAGGACGGACAGGTCAAGGGGGCGGGATGAGGCTGGTAGGTAGGAGATGGGGTGGGGCTTGAGGTGGGAGGAGGGGATAGGTGGGAGGAAGGACAGATTAGGGAGGCGGGGACAAGCTGGGCTGGTTTTGGGATGTGGTTGGGGGAGGGGAGATTTTGAAGCTTGTGAAAGTGCTCCTGGTTGCTTCCCCACAGCTCAGGAGTGAGGATGTAATCATTCTATGATCTATGAAATACACAGATAACATATGTGGGCCAGCCTGGGTTTTGGAAGGTGCTCTGATCCAATGGCTTTCAGGCTCAATGCACATGGAATGCAAATAATGTGGTGTGTAACTTTTTGAGCTGGGTTTTATTGTCTCTTTTCTTGACCAGAAAAGGTGTCTGCCTGAAATCTGCATTGCTGAAGTTTGGAATATGCAGGATACCTAAAGAGATCCCTCTCAATAATCAGTATCACATGACAACCTGGTAAATCACAACTCCCACAGAAATAGGGAGTCAACACCTTTTCATTAGAATGCCAGACCTATTGCATTAACTGTGTTTTTCTACTACTGTTACTTCCTGACCCTCTAGGTTTCTCCATCATTTTCTGTTTTCATTTCTTATTATAGAAAGTTTCACGTTTTCAGTAATGGGGAATCAAGTCAGTCCCACAAGAAGGCAAAAGCCAATTATATTTGCTCAGGACACATTGGAAAGTGTAACTTCTCATTTTAAAGTCTCATGTTACCCACATTATTTTCTCAATCCTTAAACGGGAGAGCTGTGTTAATTCCCGACGCAAAGTGCAAGATTTATAATCATATGGATGAATTCTGGATATTATTTACCAAAGGTGGGGTTTAGCTCAGTGTGGCTTCTAAAACACAATGACTTTTTAATAACCAATTAGGGAAATCAGACCCTCGGCCATGATAATAACGGAGTTAATGGACTCATTATTTATTCTGCAGTGGTGAACTTTACTGGTGACTGGGAAGTTGGATTTGCCAGGGTGACCACAATTTACAAGGCTTTCAGTAACGAGACAATCACTGCAAAAGTAGGGCTCCATATTGGACTGGCAGGAATTAATGTGACTCTGAGAGGTAAGGCATTTCTGTGTGATAATAAATTTTTAATATGTAACTTATTTCCCTAATCAACCTGTTTCAGAGATGTCATTACACACCTGCGGAGCAGGTGGGACTTGAACCCAAGCCTCCTAGTTCAGGTTGGGGACACTACCTCTGCTTCACAAGTATCTCTTGTGGCAATAATTGTCTTTGAGTTGTTATCGATTTATAAACAATTGTTCAACAGATAGAGATCGGCAATTGGCGTTAGGTGTTTCATCACAAAAGAGCAGGAACAGTGTTACTACTTAGCTAAATGCACCAATAGTTTGCTAGTGAACAGGAACTTACTTGAGAACCACAGAAAGTGCACACTCAACCCAACAATCTGTGTCAGATCTCTGCCAAAGCAATTTAGCTTGTCTGCCTTCGAGGATTAAACAAACTTGGTTGTTACTGTAAACCAGTGGATAAGAATCAATTGATAGTCCAAAATGACATATATAGGGACACATTTAAATAAAACAAAAATAACATTGAGAAAATAATACATTGATTTAGGATTCCATCATTCATCATTCATTGACAAGGATGTGGGGTAACACTGTATTTGTGAAAATTTCTTCTGGTACCAATCTTAATACCCCATCCAATTTGGTAGAATCTTGTAGTGGCAAATGCTCTGTGAAAGGATGTGCTTATAATTTCACTGCCATACACAGGAACTCGCCCTTAATATACTTACAATGTTGTTAGCCCACAATCTGCTAGCTTAAGTAGATGCAAAAAAGAATAGGTGATTCAACACAGATGCACTTGCTAATGGTTGGTCATAGTACTCTTAAGTTCAAATGTTTTGATTTTCATCAAGTGCAAAGTGTTATTCTGAGGATTTATTTATCGTTTTTGCTAACTGCAAAGTGAATTAACATGTGGTGATGCTTCACGCTATGTGCTGACAGGAATCCCTGAGAACCAGCTGAATGAAACCATAGACTACAACGAGAACTTTCTGTGGAGATTTACACTGAATTACGATGAGCAATATAACAATGGGCTTAATCGAGGGCTTCCACATCCAATTTTATATGTTGCTGAGAAGTTTCAGAGCAAGAGCCCCTGCCTTATTCATGACCAGTACAGGTTCTCTGGACATTATGCAACAGCCATGATGTGGTAAGCAAAACACATCCATGCTTTTTTATTTGTATTTCTGATGTATTTTGAAGATGAAGGGGTTCACTTCATTCCAAGATCAAGCAGGCAGAGTTTAGACTCAGAATCCAGGATAGTAGCGATTGCAAAGCGAAACAAACAGAACAGTTCTGAATTGAATATGGAGCTAAATTCCTAACCATGGTACGAATTCCAATTCAACCCGAACAAAAAGTGAAGTTGAATCTGTACATCGAGCGATTTATTAATTAGCAGCAGAGAATGCCCAAGCGGGAAGGCATATTGGTGAAAGTTTTTAATGACTGTGTTCGCTAGCTAATGGAAGCCATCGCCACTCTCCAGTCTACCCCAAAATACATCGTACCTGTTTTCACCCTAAACAGTGACTTCAGCTGTGCGAGGGAGAGTTAATAAATGTGGAATGCGGAGACACAATTACACATGTTTCTGGCAATTCCATGAATTATTGGGGCCAGTGGAGGAATGGAGCATAGTTGACTTTTTTTAACCCAAGGAGGGCCTTTGTCCAATGTCCAAGCATTGACACTCCTCCCAACAGGGCACAGAGGCTGGCTCGTGGGGAACTACTTTTAATCATCCTGTAGACGTATGTTACCACCCAACTCTGGATCAGGTGGGATTTGAACTCACACCTTCTGGCCCAGAGGTAGGGACACTACTTTTGCATCACAAGACACATAGAGGAAGTTTATATTGTATCCAGTAGGACTCAAACCAGCACAGAGGGACACAATGAGCTGCTTTGTCCAGCAGCTTAAGCATGCAGCTACTTTGCAGGGTATGCCTTGCCTTGTGAAAGACCAACAGCATTGGGAGTCCCTTAGTTAGGCACTTAAAGGGCTCAAATGGGTGAAGAGCAAGCAGACTGCCTAACATCTCTCCTACAGCTGTTCGAAATGTAGGAAACGCACATGCTCCGACAGATGGATTGAGGCATTTTCAAGCCAACAAGGTAAAATTGAACTTGCAGTTTCTACACTGACAGTATGACTGATAGCTGTGACCACAGCCCTGTAACATGATATAGAGCAGTGTAAAAAAAATCTGGAGAAAGGGAACATGAACATTAAGCTCTAAAGCAAGACTATGAATGAAAGTTTGATATTAAACAAAAGTCTGAGAGGTATGTGATATCAGTTTTGGAAAGAAGAAAGGACATAATTATAGAGGATGTATAAAGGCATTTGGCTCTCCTCCAAGACGAAGGAAAATGAAAACATTGATAATTCAAACAAAACTCTAGGGCTGAATATATTGGAGCAAAAATGGTGAAGGAGCCTCAAGAATTAACCTTTTAAGAGACTGAATAGCAAGAGATTATTACCACTGGCCAAAGGAGGTCATGAATGTAAATATAAAGGACAGGTTTGAAGGTGCTTTCTCCACACAAAGGGTTATTAAACTATGGAATGCACAAATGCAAGGAGTCAATGAAGCTGAATCAATTGCAGTGTTTAAGTGGGAGTTGTTTAAATCATTGAATATAATGTATTAATCAGTACAAGGGGAGAAAACACGGTAAAATGAGATAGAATGGTATTTGGAGCTGGAACCAACACTGCTAGCATGAACAATATTACATTCCCCTGTGTTACAACTTCTACTTTCCAAGTTCCTAAATGAGATCTCAACTTTTAAGAAAAAAAAATACAGCTTTATCCATTTACCTACTTATGCTAAATTGACAAGCGTTCAACCAAGTGACTCCTTATTGTCAAGAGTCAATGAACATGAGCTGGAAAAGCACAGCAGGTCAGACAGCATCCGAGGAGCAGGGAAATCAATGTTTCAGGCTGAAATCCTTCGTAAGGACTGGGGAGGGGGAGGAAAGTCCAGAAATAAATAGGAGGAAGGGAATAGGGCTGGGGGGAGTGTAGGTGAGATAGAGATAGGCGAATGCAGGTAGAGGGTTATTGTGGTTGGTCAGTGGAAAGGGTGGAGCAGATAAGTGAGTCAGCCAATGGACAGGTTGGAGGAGGAGAGATTTTGAAGCTGGTGAAGTCAATATTCAGGTCATTGAGCTGTAAGCTCCCAAGGCAAAATATGAGGTGTTGTGTTCCTTCAGTTTACATTTGGTCTCACTCTGACAGTGGAGGATGCAAAGGGTGGGCATGTCACCAGGGGAGTGGGAGGGTGAGTTAAAGTGAATGGCAACTGGAAGGTCAGTTTTGTTGGTACGTGTAGAGCGCTGGTGCTCCACAAACCAATCCCCAAGTCTACGTATAAAGATATAAAGGAGACCACATCAGGAGCAACAGATACAGTAGGTGAAATTAGATGAAGTGCAGGTGAATGTCTGCCGAATTTGGAAGGATTGCTTGGGGCCTCGGACGGAGTTGAGAGGGGAGGTGTAGGGGCAGGTGTAGCACCTCCTGCAGTTGCAAGGAAAGGTACGGGCTATGGTCGAGGGGTTGGTGGGGAGTGTGGAGCTGATGAGGGAGTCCTGGAGTGAACGGTCCCTGAGGAAAGTGGATAGGGGTGAGGAGGGAAATATCTTTTTGGTGGTGGGATCTGATTGTACGTGGCAGAAATGTTGAAGGATGGTGTGTTGTATTCAGAGGTTGGTGGGGTGGCATGTGAGGGCCAAGGGGTCTCTATCCTTACTGTTGTTGGGGGGAGAGGGAAGAAGTGCAGGAAATGGGGGAGAGGTGGTTGAGGGCATCCTTAATAACAGAGCAGGGGAAACTACGGTCTCTAAAGTTCCCAGACCTGACTTGTTATTATTCCAATCCACTCAGAGAAATGCAGGTCTAATTTAACCTAAATTGTGATGCTTTGGTGACTTGGGAAATTCAACATTGATGTTGAAAATTGGCATCATGCAATGTTTCATTGTGAAAAATCAATTAGCTCAATTATCCTGCACCTACCTGTGCAGAGTGGACAACGTGCTCAGTTGAAGCATCTAAAAGAAGTACCTAAGCAGTGTAAAAACTGGTTTCAAGATAAGATATAGATCAGGTCAGAAGGGAGATCCAGATGCTAGTACAGTTGATTGTTAATTGACTAGATTCCTATCATATTGAGCAAAGGAAAGTCACATTAGCGGAATAAATGTTTAGAAGTGCCAAAGATCTCTACATTGACCTAATGTTCTGTTTTTGATCTTTTTGGATTAGGGTGGCATTTTGTGCCTGGATCGTCACTAATATTCTCTTCTCCATGTCAACTATTGTGTACGGAGGCTACATGGCATTGGTCACATCTGCATTCATGATTTTCGGAGTCATCTCATTTGCGACTGTACAGAATGTATCTCCATGCATCATTCAGTTTGGTCCGGCAACACTGAAGACTAATTTCAGTGGTTCCTTCTGGCTGACATTAGCAACTGGTAAGCATAGCAAATCTGTGTTTCAGCATACAGGAGACATACTGATCTAAAGAAACAGACACTTGCAGTAGTATCAGGATAATTTTTCTTCTGTTGATTTTCCTAGCGTTGAGGCTGCCCAGAAAATACCACAAGCAATGTCTCCAAGTTATTTTATCTTCTGAAATTATTCGATGCAAAATCAGGGGGTCTTCACTTATAAATTACTGAGGGACCAGCAAGAAATCAATATCGGCGAATATAGTAAAATATTTGATGCTTAGTAGACCATGTAGAGGAAATTATTAAGTTTACATTATGTCTTGTTAACCTTTAAGGTATATTTATTAGTTGCATTTAGTGGAACAAATACAGGAAATATTTGAAGTTAAGGATAGATAGTACAACTGTTGAAATCTATTTTCTTACACTTTGACACCTCTGGACTGGCATCCAGAGTTGTTTTGAACATAGCTTCAAGTTGACATCTCCACTAAATAAAAATCAAAAAAACTACAGATACTGTAAATGAGAAACAAAAGCAGAAACTGCTGGAAAAGCTCAGCAGGTCTGGTAGCTCTGTGAAGAGAAAGCAGAGTTAATATTTCAGGACTGGTAACATTCCTTAGAATCTCTACTCCCTGCATAGAAGATGTATTCAGCCCATAAAATTATTAAATTCATTAATTCATAACCTGACACTAGAAAGCAAGAAGAATAAAGGTAGCCAATTTTCTTTCCTTGCAAAAAGCCAAAAGGTGCATTGACGTTCTTCAACCATTGGAATCAACCACCCTTCCATGGTCTGGGTGGAATTGTGCTTCAAGTTCCACACAATGTGGTTAACTCTCAATGCCCTTTGGGTCATAGAAACTCATTCAGTTCTTTCATATTGGTGGCATAAGCTTGGCTTTCACTTTGCTGAAATATCAGCCTGTGGCCAGGGTATTGAATGAACTGTTGAATATGCTTTCGAATGATCGAAAAATCCAAACAACAATTACAAAATGAGTAGAGTCAGATCGACCAAAGTTGGAACCGTAATCACCCCAAGACAATTTTATTCTCTACTTTTGGGCACTATGTATTCCAACTTCCTATCACAGAAAAATAGCAACACACCCACCCAGTCCCTCATGCTTAATCAACTCTTTGACAGTTTCTCCTCCCTGCTTTTTGCCTATAGCCCTGCAAATATTTCATTTTTCAAGTATTTATCCAACTCATTTTTGAATGTTATTATTGAATCTGCTTTCACAGCTCGTTTTGGTCAGCGCATTCCAGATTGCAACAGCTCGCTGTGCAAAGAGAAAGAAAATGCTTAGTCAAGTTGCCCTTATTCCCCTGGCAACCCCTTGAGACCTGTCTATGCATGTTTTCCCTGACTGTGAAGGAGGACCAGCCTACTGCCCCTTTGAGACATCTGAAACTGACTCCGTTCAATTTCCCTCAATTTTGGGAATGGATGAACCCTGGCACTTTCTATACTAAGTGGCTAAAGATTGAGAACTTGGGTTATTGCGTTGATAGAGCTAGGTGACGATGGTGCCCTAAACTTGCTGTGCTATAGTGCGCCAAGCTTTATACTGAGCCTTGGGATTCTTTGAACTTAGGCTTTAATATTGACAGAAGGGACAAAGGGAGGTCAGTATAGGAGAAAATGGAGGCAAGGCTCAGAGTGTGGAGGCCCTGCAGACTTTCCGCTCTGACCCTCAGCCACCTTGACTGTCTGTCTGATAGGCAAGTGGAGATGTTGGCTAGGACGCCCATGTAGACATTGGCTGGAAATCGTTTAATTGAATGGCACCATGGCAGATTAGAGCTCAGAGTTAGAATTTCAAAGTTTATACCCCTTGCATGCACCATTAATATTGGGTCATTGAAATTCCCAATTCCCACAAAAAGCAGATTGGGAACGTGCACCAAATAACAGACCTCTTTCTTCTTTAATCTAGCATTGCTGTGCTTCATTCTTGGAGTAATTGTAATCGTTATGGATCACTGTATCCCAGAGAAACTGAGAACATTCTTCATGCTAAATGGAGAGGAGGACGATGACAATGAAATGAACAATGGATTAATTAACCACACTTTTACTGATGAATATGGAAATGCTCTACATTTAAAGGTAGGTTTAAACTAGAGCTCACAGTTCTATCAATGTCTTCTTTCTGAATCAGAAATACCAATCTTGGAAAACCATTCACTCCCTCATAATGACTTTTCAAGTAATGCTGTGAAGTCCATTCTATTTAAAGTTGGGATACTCTCCTTAATTAAGAATGGATATAATATTATTATAGAGGGATTATTGTTCCATAAAAATTGTAAAGTACCTGAAAGAGATCACTGATAGTAGGAACTGCAGATGCTGGAGAATCCGAGACAACAAGGTGCAGGGCTGGATGAACACAGCAGGCCAAGCAGCATCATAGGAGCAGAGAGGCTGACGTTTCGGGCCTAGACCCTTCATCAGAAAAGGGGGAGGGGAAGGGGGTTCTGAAATAAATAGGGAGAGAGTGGGAGGCGGATAGAAGAGGGATAGAGGAGAGGATAGGTGGAGAGGAAACAAACAGGTCGAAGAGGCGGGGATGGAGCCAGGAAAGGTGAGTGTAGGTAGGGAGTTAGGAAGGGGATAGGTCAGTCCAGGGAGGACGGACA